GTTTTTAGAAATTGTAGCAAAGTTATAAAAAATAAAAAGCTGAAAATACACATTTAGTAGTATTCAGACACTTTACTCAGTACTTTGCTGAAGCACGTTTGGCAGCGATTACAGCCTCAAGTCTTCTTGGATATGATGCTACAAGCTTGGAACACCTGTATTTGGGGAGTTTCTCCCATTCTTCTCTGCAGATCCTCTCAAGCTCTGCCAGGTTGGATGGGGAGCATCGCTGTACAGCTATTTTCAGGTCTCTCCAGAGATGTTCGATGGGGTTCAAGTCCGGGCTCTGGCTGGGCCACTCAAGGACATTGAGACTTGTCCCGAAGCCACTCCTGCGTTGTCTTGGCTGTGTGCTTAGGGTCATTGTCCTGTTGGAAGGTGAATCCTTCGCCCCAGTCTGAGGTCCTGAGCGCTCTGGAGCAGGTTTCCATCAAGGATCTCTCTGTTCTTTGCGCCGTTCATCTTTCCCTCGATCCTGACTAGTCTCCCAGTCCCTGCCACTGAAAAACATCCCCACAGCATGATGCTGCCACCACCATGCTTCACCGTAGGGATGGTGCCAGGTTTCCTCCAGACGTGACGCTTGGCATTCAGGCCAAAGAGTTCAATCTTGGTTTCATCAGACCAGAGAATCTAGTTTCTCATGGTCTTAGAGTCTTTAGGTGACTTTTGGCAAACTCCAAGTGGGCTGTCGTGCCTTTTACTGAGGAGTGACTTCTGTCTGGCCACTCTACCATAAAACTCTGGTTGGTGGAGTGCTGCAGAGATGGTTGTCCTTCTGGAAGATTCTCCCATCTCCACAGAGGAACTCTGGAGCTCCTTCAGAGTGACCATCGGGTTCTTAGTCACCTCCCTGACCAAGGCCCTTCTCACAAGATTGCTCAGTTTGGCCGGGCGGCAAGCTCTAGGAAGAGTCTTGGTGGTTCCCAACTTCTTCCATTTAAGAATGATGGAGGCCACTGTGTTCTTGAGGACCTTCAATGATGCAGACATTTTTTGGTACCCCTAGATCTGTGCCTCGACACAATCCTGTCTTAGAGCTCTACGGACTATTCCTTCGACCTCATGGCTTGGTTTTTGCTCTGACATGCACTGTCAACTGTGGGACCTCATATAGACAGGTGTGTCCCTTTACAAATCATGTCCAATCAATAGAATTTACCACAGGTGGACTCCAATCAAGTTGTAGAAACATCTCAAGGATGATCAATGGAAACAGGATGTACCGGAGCTCAATTTCGAGTCTCATAGCAAAGGGTCTGAATACTTATGTAAATAAGGTATCTGTTTTTTATTGTTTTTTGCGGGGGAAAAATCTAAAAACCTGTTTTCGCTTTGTCATTATGGGGCATTGTGTGTAGATTGAGGAGGAAAAATATTTATTTAATCAATTTTAGAATAAGGCTGCAACGTAACAAAATGTGGAAAAAGTAAAAGGGTCTGAACACTCCGAATTCACTGTATATATACAGTATGTGTATATATACACATTACCAGTCAAAAGTTTGGACACACCTACCCATTCAATGGTTTTTCTTTATTTGTACTACTTTCTACATTGTAGAATAATAGTGAAGACATGACAACTATGAAATAACACATATGGAATCATGTAGTAAACAAAAAAGTGTTAAACAAACCAAAATATATTTTATATTTGAGATTCTTCAAAGTAGCCACCCTTTGCCTTGATGACATCTTTGCACACTCTAGGCATTCTCTCAACCAGTTTCACCTGGAACGCTTTTCAACAGTCTTGAAGGAGTACCCACATATGCTGAGCACTTGTTGGCTGCTTTTCCTTCACTCTGTGGCCCAACTCATCCCAAACCATCTCAATTGGATTGAGGTCGGGTGATTGTGGAGGCCAGGTCATCTGAAAATAGTAAAAATAAAGAAAAACCCTTGAATCAGTAGAGCAAAACAGAGAACACCACTGTGTTCATGAGAGTCTCCCGTTTCCATAGAGTGGTCACAATATTTTGTAGGCCATTCGGACGCTACATACATTTTTGTGAGAAGACCGATTTTCAGGATGTCTCATGGTCTGACAAACACCGCTGTAGCTCGGCCACCTTCCACTGCAGATGGGGCCAGCTCACAAAGACAGATGAAGTGGATTGAGACGCAGTCCAGGCAAAAACCCTGATATCTCTACTTGAAACTGACGAATTTTGATGAGGATATTTTTATTATGTTACTTAGATTGACGCACTGCTGCGTCAATATACTCTTAAGGATGAAGTTAGATTGGGAGTGGTGGGAAAACAGCAATCTTCAAGTCTTTCCACAGATTTTCAAGGGGATTCAAGTCTGTGCCAATCAAGGACTTTCACATTGTTGTTCTGAAGCCATTCCAGCCTTGCTTTGGCTGTATGCTTGGGGTCATTGTCCTGTTGGAACGTACATTTTCTCCCCAGGCTAAGGTCGTTTGCACTCTGAAGCAGGTTCTCATCAAGGATTTGCCTGTATTTGGCTCCATTCATTGTTCCCTCTATCCTTACCAGTCTCCCAGTCCCTGCCACTGAAAAGCATCCCCATAGCATGATGCTGCCACCACCATGCTTCACGGTAGGGATGGTGTTAGATGGGTGATGAGTTGTGCCTGGTTTTCTCCTGACAGCGGCTTTACATTCAGGTCAAAGAGTTCAATTATTGTCTCATCAGACCACAGAATCTTTGGCCTTATGATCTGTCTTTCACGTGCCTTTTTTCTATCTCCAAGTGTGCTGTCATGTGCCTTTTTCTCAGGAGTGGCCTCCGTCTGGCCACTCTCCCATTAAGCCCAGATTGTTGAAGTGCTGTAGAGACTTGTCCTTCTGGCAGGTTCTCCAATCTCAGCCAAAAAACTTGGTCACCTCCTTCTTGCCCGGTTGCTCAGTTTGGTCGTATGGACAGCTCTAGGTAGAGTGTGGGTAGTTCCATATTTTTTCAATATCCCAATGATGGAGACCACTGTGCTCTTGGAAACTTTCAACACTCTAGAAATTGGATGCACCTGAGCTCAATTTGGAGCGCAAAGGGGTGTGAATACTTATGTAAATTAGATATTTCTGTATTTCATTTTCAATAAATTTGCTAACATTTCTAAAAACATGTTTTCACTTTGTCATTATGGGGTATTGTTTGTAGATCGGTGAGATTTTTTAAAATATTTAATCAATTTTGAATTCAGGCTGTAACACAACAAAATATGGAATAAGTCAAGGGGTATGAATACTTTCTGATTGCACTGTATGGATACATCTGAGTATACCTCATGTTTTTATACATACCTCCCAATGGCATCAAAGCATGATTTACAAGAAATGTCAAGTTATGACATGTATTTCCAGATAGGCTTGGACCCTGTACAGTAAGAGCACAGCTGCATTACAGTGAAGGACTAGAGTACAATATGTCATTCATTCCAGTGAATCATGAGTCAGTGGAGCGGTGACTGAACCAGGGTTGACCCCTCTAACTAACAGAGAAAAACACATCGTGGAAGCAGTTATGGTTTATGACATCACCACCCCAACTCTCTCCATGACACTTTTCCTTGGGAATGGTTCTATCCAGCCCTCTCCTAGAATAGTATCAGGCAGGGAGACCTGAGGGATATACTGCGAAGCAGGATCACTGAGTTAGCCAGCTAACTTGGATAAACAACCCGAAATAACTATTGATATGTGTTTTTGGTTGTTGAGTCAATTAGACCATGCTCATTTCAAGCTTATCTTAAAAAATATATATATACATATATTTCAGAATATTTATGCAAGTTTACTGGCTAACTCATTGATCCTGCTTTGTAGTATATCCCTCAGGGTCCGTTTATATCAAGCGTGTCCGAGTAGGAGTGCTGATCTAGGATCAGTTTAACATTTTAAATCACAACGGGGGGGGGGGGGGGGGGGGGACCTGATCCTAGATCCTAGATCAGCACACATACTCTGAGACGTTGTCCCATACAGAGATGTAAGGCCAGAGGGTCTACAGTACAATAAGGTCAGACAGTTTAAAAGCCCCCACCCAACTCCAGCAGTACAGTACAGTTCATTAATGTAAAAATGAAAACGCAAAAAGGAGGTTGCATTTGGGTTGTGTAGCTAGCATTCCATTTGGCTAGCTGCAATATCTCTCTTTTCACAAAATCGTCATATTAGTAATTATATTTAATTTCACCTGTAAGAATAACAGAATGTCATAATATTATAGTAATGTACTAACAATGCAATAATAATGGAACGTGTGTGTTATAGTTGAGAAAAACATAAGAAAGGAGAGGCTAGCTGTAAAATGTTGCTATTCCCATTCTCTTCATCCACACACACACAATGCCAGCCTGAGGTTGATCAAGAATGTATGTGAGGAAAAGCTAAATAAAGTAAAGAGCAAGGGAAAACAGACACAGAATCACTTGGTCATTTAAATGTTTGATCATTGAAGAAGAAAAAACCATTCCATCCTGAATGAATCAGGGTGTGCACCATTTGCAAAAAAATTACATAATAATCTGAGCAAAAATGCTTCTCTAGGATCAGGCAAGCCTACACATTTAGCTGGTTATTTGTGACTTATCTGTAGACACAGATCCCTGTGTTTCCTTCAGTGACCATAAATAGCTTTCAAAACACAGTCTTGAGGTGCAACTGTGGAGTGGGCTGACACAGCTGGAGCCAAAATGGCCTTAGCCCTTAGATGACATAAAAATCTATTCAAAATCAACAATCAACTTTTCATACATGGCTGTCTCAGTGCCAATCTAAACTAGTCATACAAACACCACTTTTCAAGTATCATCACATTTTATAATAAGGATCCCGTATCCCAAAAAACAAAAATCTAATTCACAAAATGTCATAATTCAACAACAAAAAATAATAAAACAAAATAAAACAAAAGCAAGCATTTAGAGAGAAGGCAGATTTGGTCCTTTTTTCCCCCCCCAAGGTCTGGCAATTGGCCGTGACATCATTCTGTGACATCAGCGAGGTGTTCCACGTGGAGGTGTGGCCTCAGCCCAGCCCAACGTCCAGTGACATCATCACTACAAAGCCCAGGATAGAGGTCCAGGAAGCCAACTTACCGTTCCCACTTCAAGACAAAATACATGGACAGTGTTAATCAATGTTGGTATAGTTATACAGTACTTCAATCATATACAATACATTGAGACACAGAGATAAGCAGAGCACATGGAAAGATTAAAAGACAGACAGACAGACAGAGATAATGCCAGAATGAGACATAGAATGACATATATACAGACTTAAAAAACTGTCAGGTTCCTAAAATACACACACAGACCCTAAACACGCGAGCAGGCACACACGTCACAGTGACAGTCGACCCACACACGTCACAGTGACAGTCGACCCACACACGTCACAGTGACAGTCGATCCACACACTCACAGTGACAGACGACCCACACACTTCACAGTGACAGATGACCCACACACTTCACAGGTACATTCGACGCACACATACTGTACGTTGGGTGTTGAAGAGAGGACAAGTCAAAAGGACAGCTCGCTCCCTGTCTCGCTTTTTAAAGCAAACAATACGCCCAAGGTTGTGAAAACATTCCAGGGGGACAGTGTCTTTGCTCCACTACCACTCCCACATGAACACAAAGACAGTGATTGATCTAGTCTGGCTCAGAGTCACAGAGCTATGAACAACTACGCACAGAGTTGGAACCAAGGTGGGAAAGGACAGAAAAATAAAAGACAAAAAAATTGGTTTTGTTCTAGGCCTATGCGGTCTGTCTCTTACCTATGCTGTCTGTCTCTTACCTATGCCGTCTGTCTCATAACTTTACTCCCACCATCTCTTTATCTGTTGATGTATTACTAGGAAACGTTGTTCCACTGTTTTCTAAAGGGTTGGACATGGGCTAAGCCTTGACTAAGACATGGGTTAGGAGATCGCGGTAACTATAACATCTCTCTCCCTCTCCCTCCCTCTCCCTCTCCCTACTCACCTGAGTTGAGCCTCTGGGATGATGTCATCAACCACCACATACACCATGGCCCCAGCAGCGAAGGCCAGGGCGTACGGCAACAGTGGTTCTGCCAGCACCACGGCAACGGCGCCTAGCAACCCGGCGATTGGTTCTACCATCCCACTGAGCTGTCCGTACCTGAGGAGAGAGGAGTTAGTTAAAACCCTAGTTAGTACCCTTAATGTCCCCTTCGGTCATTGGTTGTCAAACAAAAACAATTCCTTTAAATATACAGTTGCCTTCAGAAAGTGTTCACATCCCTTGACTTTTTCCACATTTTGTTGCGTTACAAAATGGGATTAAAACGGATTTCATTGTCATTTTTGGTCAACGATCTACACAAAATACTCTGTAATGTCAAAGTGGAAGAAGAATAACAACATTTATAAAACATCTATGAAAAGTAAAACACTAATATCTTGATTAGATAAGTATTCACCCCCTGAGACAATACATGTTAGAAATACCTTTGGCAGCGATTACAGCTGTGAGTCTTTTTGGATAAGTCTAAGAGCTTTGCACACCTGGATTGTACACTATTTTCACATTATTATTTTAAAAACTCTTACCAAACTCTTGGTAAGCAACTCCAGTGTAGGTTTGGCCTTGTGTTATAGGTTGTGCTGCTAAAAGTTTAATTAATCTCCCAATGTCTGTTGGAAAGAAGACTGAACCAGGTTTTCCTCTAGGATTTTGCCTGTGCTTACCTGTATTCTGTTTGTTTTTTTATCCCAAAAAACTCCCTAGACCTTGCCGATCACAAGCATACCCATAACATTATGCAGCCACCACCATGCTTGAAAATATAAAGCATGTTACTCAGTGATGTGTTGTGTTTGCCCCAAACATAACACTTTGTATTCAGGACAAAGTTAATTGTTTGCCAATTAGTTTTGCATTATTACTTAAGTGCCTTGTTGCAAACAGGATGCATGTTTTGCAAAAAATGTTTATTCGATAAAGGCTGCCTTCTTTTCACTCTGTCATTTAGGTTAGTATTGTGGAGTAACTACAATGTTATTGATCCATCCTCAGTTTTTTCATTTTACAACCATTAAACTCTGTTTTAAAATCACCATTGGCCTCATAGTGAAATACCTGAGCAGTTTCCTTCCTCTCCGGCAACTGAGTTAGGAAGGACGCCTGTATCTTTGTAGTGACTGGGTGTATTGATACACCATCCAAAGCCTAATTAATAACTTCACCATGCTCAAAGCGATATTCAGCGTCCGTTCTTCTTTTTACCAATCTACCAATCAGTGCCCTTCTTTACGAGGCATGGAAAACCTCCCTGGTCTTTGTGGTTGAACCTGTGCTTGAAATTCACTACTTGATTGGAGGAACTTACAGATAATTGTATGTGTAGGTTACAGAGATGGGGTAGTCATTCAAAAATCATGTTAACCACTATTATTGAACACAGAATGAGTCCATGCAACTTATTATGTGACTTGTTAAGCAACATTTTATGGCTTGCCATAACAAAGGTGTTGAATACTTCTTGACTCAAGACATTTCAGCTTTATATTTTTAATTATTATGTAAACATTTTAAAAAAACATACTTTTTTTGTTGTTGACATTATGGAGTATTATGTGTAGATCAGTGACACAAAATCTCAATTTAATCAATTTTCAATGCAGGCTGTAACAACAAAATGTGGAAAAAGTCAAGTGGTGTGAATACTTTCTGAAGGCACTGTAAGTTAAGATGCAGAGAAACTGTGATGATCATATGGAAATACTGTTTGGATATTAATAGTTGTTACTCACCAGAAGGCTTTCCATGTGGACATCCCTGCACCTCGCAGAGGGAGGCTCACCGCAAGGCCCTCTGGGAAATTCTGGATCCCTATGCCAATGGCCAAGTTCCTGTGAAACACGTGATGATAACGCTTTAGAGGACACCACTTCTTAGATTGTTGTCTGATGGCCTTTCAGATTACATTTCTTATTACCATTACCCTAATCAATGGTCGTTCATTGACATTGGTTTAGAGGCCTAAGTGGAAGAGATTTCAGAGCATTGAGTTTGCATGTGAAGCATTACATTCACTTTAATAGAGTTGGAGCAGGCTAAGTGGCTAAGTGAGGTAGAAGTGTGGCTGGTGGGTGGGTGGTTGGGTGGTTGGTTAGCTAGGAGGAAACTAGATCTGAATGATAATGTACAGTACATAGCATGGGGAAAAACTGCTGTCAGTTTCCGGGGTCACTTATAAGGCAGTCGTGCTCAGACTACATTACACAGAGAATGAGTCAGCACTGGAGGAAATCATCATCATCACAGTAAAACCGCAGAGACTATGGATAGGGGCTCATTCTCAGGACAGGAAATGAGCTGGAAACAATTGCTAAGGAGACACATGAGGAGAGAGTTGGATGTGAAGAGTTGGGAGTTAGGCAGAAAACGGATACTGCTAAACAGTTAGAAGAGAAGAAACTCAAATCTATTCAAAACAACAACACAGCACTCAAGTCACCCCATCCCAGGCCAACCAAAGCATCAATAAACTGAGGCTAACAGCACACACTACATTCCACACTATTAGCAGCCAGGGTGGTAATTCAACAACATGCTCATAACCAGGGTGTTTGTTTGTCTGCTCACACTCCACTGCATCCTAATCGGACCACTTCAGTTCCCGGGGGGCAAGGAACTCAGCAATACCACACACTGGTGTGTTTGGGAGGAACGTTTTGGGTTTCCTACTTCCCTCTCTCCCTGTGAACCACTCTTTGGTACAGAGTCAAGAGCCTGCCCTCGGAGAGAGAGGATTAATGACAGCTAGTCACGGAAATGCTTACAGCGTCCACCGCCCGGGAGAGAGAGGGACACAGAGAGAGAGAGAATGAGAGAGAGAGAGAGAGAGAAAGAGAGAGAGAGAGAGAGAGAGAGAGAGAGAGAGAGAGAGAGTAATGTAGTACAGTCGTGGTCAAAAGTTTTGAGAATGACACAAGTATTGGTCTTCACAAAGTTCGCTGCTTCAGTGTTATGAGATATTTTTGTCAGATGTTACTATGGTATACTGAAGTATAATTACAAGCATTCCGTAAGTGTCAAAGGCTCTTATTGACAATTACATTAAGTTTATGCAAAGAGTCAATATTTACAGTGTTGAGCCTTCTTTTTCAATACCTCTGCAATCCGCCCTGGCATGCTGTCAATTAACTTCTGGGCCACATCCTGACTGATGGCAGCCCATTCTTGCATAATCAATGTTTGGACTTTGTCAGAATTGTGGGTTTTTGTTTGTCCACCCGCCTCTTGAGGATCGACCACAAGTTCTCAATGGGATTAAGGTCTGGGGAGTTTCCTGGCCATGGACCCATAATTTCGATGTTAAGGTCTGGGGAGTTTCCTGGCCATGGATCCACAATTTCGATGTTTTGTTCCCTGAGTTATCACTTTTGCCTTATATCAAGGTGCTCCATCATGCTGGAAAAGGCATTGGTCGTCACCAAACTGTTCTTGGATGGTTGGGAGAAGTTGCTCTCGGAGGATGTGTTGGTACCATTCTTTATTCATGGCTGTGTTCTTAGGCAAAATTGTGAGTGAGCCCACTCCCTTGGCTGAGAAGCAACACCACACATGAATGGTCTCAGGATGCTTTACTGTTGGCATGACACAGGACTGATGGTAGTGCTCACCTTGTCTTCTCCGGACAAAGTGTTTTCCGGATGCCCCAAACAATCGGAAAGGGGATTCATCAGAGAAAATGACTTTACCCCAGTCCTCAGCAGTCCAATCCCTGTACCTTTTGCAGAATATCAGTCTGTACCTGGTGTTTTTCCTGGAGAGAACTGGCTTCTTTGCTGCCCTTCTTGACATCAGGCCATCCTCCAAAAGTATTCGCCTCACTGTGCGTGTAGATGCACTCACACTTGCCTGCTGCCATTCCTGAGCAAGCTCTGCACTGTTTCCTTGCAGGTAACCATGGATAACAGAGGAAAAACATTGATTTCAAGTAGCACCCTCCTTTTAAAACTTCCAGTCTGTTATTCTAACTCAATCAGCATGACAGAGTGATCTCCAGCCTTGTCCTCGTCAACACTCTCACCTGTGTTAACGAGAGAATCACTGACATGATGGCAGCTGGTCCTTTTGTGGCAGGGCTGAAATGCAGTGGAATATTTTTTTTTCGGATTAAGTTCATTTTCATGGCAAAGAGGGACTTTGCAATTAATCAGATCCTCTTCAGGCATCTGTTGCAAATGCAAATGGAATATTTGTACAATTAAGTTATGTTGTGGGGTTTTTTTTCCCAAAAATTTTCCCCCCTTTCCCCCCCCCCTTTGGGAAACCCTTTTCCTTTTTTTTGGGGGGTTTTTTTTTTTTCCCACCCCCCCCAAAAAAACCCCCCGGGGTTAAGGGGGGGAAAAGGGGGGAAAACCCCCGGTTTTTTTTTTTTTCCTTTTTTTCCCCTTTTCGGGAAAAAAAAAAAAAAACCCTTTTTTATTTTAAAAATTTTGGAGGGGGGTTTTTTTTCCCCTTTTTTAAAAAGGGGTTCCCAACCCCTTTTTTCCCCCCAAAAAAAATTTTTTTTTGGGGAAAAAAAGGGGGGTTTTTTTTTTTGGGGGGGGTTTTTTAAAAATTTGGAAAAAATTTGGGGGGAAAAATTTTTTAAAAAAGGGTCCCCCCTTTTTTAAAAAAATTTTTTGGGGGTTTTTTTAAAAAATTTTTTGGGGTTTTAAAAAAACCCCAAAAAAAAAAGAAAAAACCCGGGGGAAAAGGGGGGAAGGGGGGGGGAAAAAAAAAAGGGGGGGGGAAAAAAAAAAAAATTTGGTTTGGGCCCCCCCCAAAAAATCCTTTTTAAATTTTTTTTTTCCCAAACCCTTTTCCTTAAAAACCCCTTTTTAAAACCCCTTTTTTAACAAAAAAAAAGTGGGTTTTTTTTTGGCCCCAAAAAAAAATTTTTTTTTAAAAAAAAAAAAAAAAGGGGGGGGTTTTTTTCCATTTTTTTTTTTTTTTTTTTAAAAAAAAAAAAAAAAGGGAAAAAAGGGGGGTTTTTTTTTTTTTTTTTTTAAAATTTTATTTTTTTAAGGGGGGAAAAAATTAATTTTTGGAAATTTTTTTTTTTCCCCCAAAAAAACCCCCCAAAAAGGAAAAAAAAAGAGAGGGGGGGGGGGGGGGGGGGGGGAAAAAAAAAAAAAAAGGGGGGGGGGGGGAGAGAGAGAGGGGGAGAGGGGAGGGGGGGAGAGAGGGGGGGGGGGAATGGCCCCCCCAAAAAAAAAAAAATTTTTGGGGGGAAAACCCTTTGGGGGAAGGGAAATTTTAAAAAAAATTTTTTTTTTTTAAAAAAGGGGAAAGGGGGGTTCCCCCGGGTTTTTTTTTCCCCCAAAAAAAGGGCAACCAGTGAAGAACAAAACCCGGAAAACAACCCATATTAATGTTTTTATTTTCCCTTTTTTTAAAAAACCCCTTTTAAAAAAAAAAAAAAAAAGGGTTTTTTTTTTTTTAATTTTTTTTTTAAAAATTTTTTTTATTTTCCCTTTTTTTTTTTTTTGGGGAAAATTTTTTTCCCCCAAAAAAAAAAAAAGGGGGAAAAAAAAGGGGGGGGGGAGAGGGGGGGGGGGGGGGGGGGGGAGAGGGGGGGAAAAAAAGAGAGAAGGGGAAAAAAAAAAGGGGGGGGGGGGGGGGGGGGGAAAAAAAGGGGGGGGCCCCCCGGAACCCCCCAAAAAAAGGGGGGGGGCAAGGGGGGGGGGGCCCTTTTTGGGGGGAAGGAAAATTTTCCCCTTTTTTTAAAAACCCCTTCCCCCCCCAAGGTTTTTTAAAAAAAAGGGGAAAAAAAGAAAAAATTGGAAAACCCCAAAAAATTTTTAAAAATTTTTTTAAAAAAAAAAAAATTGGGGAAATTTGGGGAAAAAAAAGGGGAAAAAATTTTTCCTTTTTTTTTTTTTTCCCAAAAAAAAAACCCGGGGGGGGGGGGGGGGAAAAAAAAAAAAAAAAAGGGGGGGGGGGGGGAGAGAGAGAGAGAGAGAGAGAGGGGGGGGGGGGGGGGGGGGGAAAAAAAAAAAAAAAAAAAAAAAAAAGGGGGGGGAGAGAGGGAAGGGGGGGGGGGGGGGAAAAAAGGGGGGGGAAAAAAAAGGGGGGGGGAAAAAAAAAAAAAGGGGGGAAAAAAGGGGGGGGTTTGGGGAGGGAAAAGGGGGGGGCAAAACCAAAAAGGAAAAAAAAAAGGAAAAAAAAGAAAGAAAAAAGGGGGGGCCCCAATAAAGGGAAAATTTTGGGGGGGGGTTGGGGAAAACCCCGGTTTTTTTCCCCCCCCTTTGGGGGAAAAAAAAACCCCCCCCCTTTTTTGGGGGAAAAAAAAAAAAAAGGGGGGCCCAAAATTTTTTTTAAAAAAAAAAGGAAAAAGGAAAGAAGGGGGAAAAACCCCCCCAAAAAGGGGGGGAGGGAGAAAAAAAAAAAGGGGAAAAAAAAGGGGGAAAAAAGGGGGAAAAAAAGGGGGGGGGAAAAAAAGGGGGGGGTTTTTTTTTTTTCCGGGGAAAAAAAACCCAAAAAAAAGGGGGGGGGAAAAAAGGGGGGGAAAAAAAAAGGGGTTTTTTTTTGTTAAAGGAAAATTTTTTTGGGGCCCCCCTGGGGGGAATTTTGGGGAAAAATTTAAAAAGGGGGGAAAAAAAATTTTTTTAAAAAGGGGGAAAAAAAAAAAAAAAAAAGAAAGGGGGGCCCCCCCGGGGGGAAACCCCCTTTTTGTTTTTGGGGGGGTAAAATTTTTCAAACCCCAAAAAAACCCCCCTTTTTTTTAAACCCGGGGGGGGCCCCCCCCCCAAAAAAAACGGGGCATTTTGGGGGGGGTTTTTTTTTAATTGGAAACCCCCTTTTGGGGGGGGGGAAAAAAAAAAATTTTTTTTCCTTGGGTTTTAAATTAAAAAAAATTTTTTTCCTTTTTTGGGTTTTTTCCCCCTTTAAAAAAGGGGGGTTTTAAAAAAAAAAATTTTTTTGGGAAAAAAAAACCCGGGCCTTTTTAAACCTTTTTTTGGGGGGGGAAAAAACCCTTTTTAAAATTTCCCCAAATTTTAAAAAAACCCCTTTTTTAAAAAAAAAAAAAGGGGGGAAAAAAAATTTTAAAAAAAAAGGGAAAAAAAAATTTTTTGGGGGGGGGGGGGCCCCCTTTTTTTTTGTTTCCCTTTTTTTTTTTTTTTTTTTCCCCCCCTTTTTTTTTGGGTTCCCCCCCCTTTCCCGGGGGCCCTTTTTCCTTTCCCGGGGGGCCCACCCCCAAATACTGTTACCTGCAATTGTGTTCTTACACATTAGTTGACATTGCCAGTAAGAGCACTGAGGACAACACTATTCACTGTACCGTCATGGCTTACGAACGTATAGTGACATGGCAAGCAGGGACCACTATCACTTCCACTTGTCCCTTCTCATTGTCAATGTTGTGTGTGCCCGTTAGGCGTAAAAGTGTGTTCTGTACATCTGTTTCCTACTGGTCATTCAGCATTCTAACCCAAGGCCCCTGGCCAGTTGTTCCATTCTAAACCGGCATCGTTTCAGAGAAGCCGTGGATCATGGAGGCAAGAACGGCAGCAGGCTAGGGCCTGGTGGAGGAACTGAAGAAAGATAATGCAGGTAATTCATTTCTCCTTACTGGGTGTATGAATTAGTATGAACAAGATTTTGTGTTCTCGTTTGGTTTATATACACTGTCAACATTAACAGCTTTCGTTTCCATCAACGGCTTTTGTTTCAGGCCAAGCAGCTGAACTGTCAGCCATGGGCGCCAGAGTGACAGCCAGCAAGAGAGAGGTGGAGGAACTGAAGAGAGAGAACGCAGACAGACCTAAGGTGGCCTTCTCAGCTGGTTTGACCGATGACGGCGCTGTAGGACCCTTCGATACTGGACACAAACTGGTCTACACCAAAGTCTTCACCAACATTGGCCAAGCCTACAACCCAACTACAGGAATCTTCACACCACCAGTGAGAGGGGTCTATAACTTCATATTCAGAGCCTGTAACAACCAGAGAGATAAGAGCGTAATTGTTGCCATGATTGTGAATGGCAAGTTCATTCTGCACAATTGTGAGCATGAACCTGATTCCCATGTTAGGTGTATATCTAATGCAGTCAGTCAGCAGCTTGAGAAGGGAGATGTGGTGTACATGGAGTTCCCCTCAGGGAACATGCTCTTTGACAGCGATAATAATCACAATATCTTTAGTGGCTTCCTGCTCTTCCCTATGTGAGAACACCAACTGCTGTAATGGTCTCAGGTGAAGAGTCTGTATTGTAAGACCCTCTTGGAGCCCCAAATGCTCCTCTTACTACAATGAATAAAGCATTAAAAAGCAATAATACTGTGTATGTGTTGTTCGTTTACAAAGACATTGTTTACAAATATTAAAGTAAAACAACATATTTTGGGTTATGACATGGGGTAAGCCAGTTTTATTTGGCTCATAAGGCATTTCTACGTTCTATTCTTCCAGAATCAATGGGTCTATAATATCATTCATTCATTGAGATGACCATTGAAGAGTTGTAAATATTGCAGATTGTACCTTGAAGACTGAAAAAGAGTGCCATCTGTTGGTTGGTAGTCTCTGAAAGAGGTGCCGGTTTAGAATGGAACAACTGGCCAGGGGCCTGGGTTAGAATGCTGAATGACCAGTAGGAGACAGATGTACAGAACACACTTTTACGCCTATCGGGCACACACAACATTGGCAATGAGAAGGGACAAGTGGAAGTGATAGTCGTCCCTGCTTATTACCAATGTCAACTATTACTGGTTTCTGTAATAGACACAAATTGAGCAGGTATTCCACAGTGGTAAAAGCCTAATAGCGATGTGCTTTGTTTTCATTAATATAGCAATAGTTTACATACACCGTGCGAGTCAGTTTGGCTACTTTCTCTCTGTCACACTCATCAGCCACTCCGCCCCTCCTCCACCCTTCTGTGCTGAAACAACAAGCAGATTGCAAAACCTCTCCTGAGTCTCGTGAGCAAGTCCACATTTAAGTTTAAAACAACAACAAAAAATTACATGCATTTCGACTATCCACATTTTTGGGGGGGGGGATATTCGAATAGAGAAATCATTTCAAATGCCCAATCCTACTCTTCCCTGTGTGAGAACAGGTGTAATGATCTCAGTCACAGTCTGTATTGAAAGACCCTCTTGGAGCCCCAAATGCTCCTCTTACTACTATTAATTAAACATTACAAATCAATTATACTATATGGCAACAGCTCTGGTGGACATTCCTGCTGTCAGCATGCCAATTGCATGCTCCCTCAAAACTTGAGGCATCTGTGGCATTGTTTTGTGTGACAAAACTGCACATTTCAGAGTGGCCTTTTATTGTCCCGAGCACAAGGTGCACCTGTGTAATGATCATGCTGTTTAATGAGCTTCTTAATATGCAACATCTGTCAGGTGAATGGATTATCTTGGCAAAGGAGAAATGCTCACTAACAGGGATGTAAATAAATTTGTGGACAAAATTAGAGAAATAAGCTTTGTGTGTCTACGGAACATTTCTGGGATCTTTTATTTCAGCTCATGAAACATGGGACCAACACTTTACATGTTGCTTTTATATATTTGTTCAGTGTATATTTCCACACTATGATGATGGAATAATACTGTGACGTGAAAATTAACATAATGCACTTTTAAGTGTAAGCGCTTTTTTAAAAGACCAGATGAAATGTCAGCCAGTATTGGTGGGATGGCGTTTTGGCCTGCCTGGTGACATCACCAGGAGGTAAGTTAGTTAACAGACCAATAAGTAAGAGAGTTCCAAACCTCTCTGTCAATAATAGCTCGTTTTCAGTTTTCCCCTTCCCACTCAGAGACAGTCCTAGCAAAATTCTTGCTTGAGAAATGCCAATTTTTTAAGAAGCTGTTTTTGTTTCTTATTTACAATTTTATTGTAAATAATCACAGTAAGGTATTTAATTGTTACCCAGAAATTATTTGATAACGAGATTTTGAAAAAAGGCTGCATTAGACCTTTAACTGCTTTGCATTAACTGCTATAAACGTTTTACCACACAAAAATAAATTGACAAACTGTAAAGAAATTAGGAGATCATTTACTAAACAACAGTTGGACACTTCTCATGGGTCTTATACAACATAGATCAAAATGACGCACTACGTGCCAAAACAGATCTTATCAAAATGTTATCAAAAGTCCTTGGCTTTAGGTAAAAATTGTCCATTGAGGACACGTGTATCATGTAGCGCTACCCGATGTGTGTGTATATAAAGAGGGGGACTGAGCCTCAAACCTGCATCATATCTGAAGAGGCATCGTTTCGGAATGAAGGGTGTTGTAGCTCTGCTGGCGTTGCTGTTCTGTCTGTCTGGCGCATGGGCTCAGGGAGGGAGTGGAGGGCTCAGAGAGAATGACATCACTCAACAGGGTCACAGCACAGGCAGAGAGGGCATAGTGAGAGAAGTTCAGATAGAGCGCAGAGGGACTGAAGCTATGGGCATGATGGACGACCGCACACCCACGGAAGTTGACCTCTTGACTGATGTGAAGGAGCTTAGAGACATGGTGTACAAGCTGGGAACCATCGTGGTGGAACAGAGAGAGAAGCTGAGGAACACAGAGGCCAGAGTGGCAGCCAGTGAGGATCAGGTGATGGACCTTAGAGTGGAGCAGAGAATCACTGCGAAAGAAGTAGAGAAACTGGAGAAAGACAAAACCGCTTTGGAGGCCAGACTGACTGCCAGTGAGAGCCAGGTAGAGGCGCTGAAGAAAGAGAATGGAGCCCAATCAGCTGAACTGTCAACCATGGGGGCCAGACTGACAGCCAGCGAGAGCCAGGTAGAGGCGCTGAAGAAAGAGAATGGAGCCCAATCAGCTGAACTGTCAACCATGGGGGCCAGACTGACAGCCAGCGAGAGCCAGGTAGAGGCGCTGAAGAAAGAGAATGCAGCCCAATCAGCTGAACTGTCAACCATGGGGGCCAGACTGACAGCCAGCGAGAGCCAGGTAGAGGCGCTGAAGAAAGAGAATGCAGCCCAATCAGCTGAACTGTCAACCATGGGGCCCAGACTGACAGCCAGCGAGAGCCAGGTAGAAGAACTGAAGAAAGAGAATGCAGGTAATTCATTTATCCTTACTCGACGAATGAATTAGTATGAACAAGATTTTCTTACTCATCTGGTTTATGAGCATTAACAGCTTACATTTCCATCATTTCAGACCAAGCAGCCAATCTGTCTGCCATTAGCGCAAGAGTGACATTCAGCGAGACAGAGGTGGAGGAACTGAAGAGAGAGAACGCAGACAGACCAAAGGTGGCCTTTTCAGCTGTTTTATCATCAGGAGTTGTAGGACCATTTAATACTGAAACCACAGTGGTCTACACTAGAGTCATCACAAACATTGGCCAAACCTACAACCCAACTACAGGAATCTTCACAGCACCAGTGAGAGGGGTCTACAACTTCAGATTCAGAGCTTGTAGTAACCAGGATGTGGGTCGTACTGATATTGTATTGTATAAGAATGGACAGAGAATGATGCACAATTTTGAATACCGAGCTGATTTAAATCTTAGATGTATCTCTAATGGCGTCAGTCTGCAGCTGGAGAAGGGAGATGAGGTGTACATGAGGCTCCCCTCAGAGTACGAGCTCTTTGACAGCGATTATTATCACAATATCTTTAGTGGCTTCCTGCTCTTCCCTATGTGAGAACACCAACTGCTGTAATGGTCTCAGGTGAAGAGTCTGTATTGTGAGACCCTCTTGGAGCCCCAAATGCTCCTCTTACTACAATGAATAAAGCATTAAAAAGCAATAATACTGTGTATGTGTTGTTCGTTCAAAGACACTGTTTACCACATATTTTGGGTTATGATTGGGTAAGACATTTGTACTTGATGTTTCTTTGTTCAAGAATCAAATGGGTCTACATTAGGGCTGTGGCGGTCATTACATTTTGTCAGACGGTTATTGTTATGTAAAAGCCTACCGGTCTCACGGTAATTTGTCGTTAATTAACATAAACCCGTTTAGCATCTCCAGGCCACGCATACAAGCAGCCAAACTGTCTACCATTAGCGCAAGAGTGACATTCAGCGAGACAGAGGTGGAGGAACTGAAGAGAGAAAATGCAGACAGACCAAAGGTGGCCTTTTCAGCTGGTTTGTCATCAGGATTTGTAGGACCATTTAATACTGAAAATGTATGCACTCACTAACTGTAAGTCGCTCTGGATAAGAGCGTCTGCTAAATGACTAAAATGTAAATGTAAAAAAAGACTCATACAAGCAGCTGATGAGCGCCTTCGGAACATCTACATTTAAAAAAATCTAATAAATCAATTTAATATACACCATCACAATTAATATATTACTTATTTTAGGCAGGTCTAAAGAAATATTATGATATAAATGTATTTCAGAAGGACAGAATATGAGCTGGCCTACTGTATGTTTCTGGCTATGTGCCATGCCATAGGGTGTGGGCTTGTTCATTTAGGAGACAAGATATGCTTATAAGTTCCATGCCATTATTTTTATATGATTTTATTGTAAGAAGAATATAATTGAACTTAGCTGAATAAAATAGATAGGATATATTTCCCATTCCAGAGTGAGTATGCATATGATGTGGCTATGTTGAGTATAAAAGTGATCATTTGAAACAGGTCCTAAACGCTAGATTTAAAGTTATTTGGCAACTTTAGTTGTGAATGACACAAACCTTAGAATATTTTATAAATCAAAACATATATGGTATATGGGATGCATGATGCGACTATTGATGATTTCAGAAAGTCGCAAAAAAAGCTTGCACACTGTTCCTTGCCTCAGGCTGCACAGGCTGTTCTCTCATCAGGTGACCACATATAGCTCGGCATTCAACACCATAGTACCCTCCAAGCTCATCATTAAGCTCGAGGCCCTGGGTCTGAACCCCGCCCTGTGCAACTGGGTCCTGGACTTCCTGACGGGTGAAGGTAGGAAACAACATCTCCACTTCGCTGATCCTCAACAATGGGGCCCAACAAGGGTGCATTCTCAGCCCCCTCCTGTACTCCCTGTTCACCCATGACTGCATGGCCAAGCACACCTCCAACTCAATCTTCAAGTTTGCAGATGACACAACAGTAGTAGGCTTGATTACCAACAATGATGAGACAGCCTACAGGGAGGCGAGTCCTCTGGGAGTGTGGTGCGAGGAAAATACCCTCTCACTCAACGTCAACAAAACAAAGGAGATGATCGTGGACTTCAGGAAACAGCAGAGGGTGCGCCCCCTATCCACAGTGACGGGACCGCAGTGGAGAAGGTGGAAAGCTTCAAGTTCCTTGGCGTACACATCACTGACAAACTGAAATGGTCAACCCACGCAGACAGGGTGGTGAAGAAGGCGCAACAGAGCCTCTTCAACCTCAGGAGGCTGACAAACTATAGTTTTGGCAAGTCAGTTAGGACATCTACTTTGTGCATGACACAAGTAATTTTTCCAACAATTGTTTACAGACAGATTATTTCACTGATAATTCACTGTATCACAATTCCAGTGGGTCAGAAATTTACATACACTAAGTGACTGTGCCTTTAAACAGCTTGGAAAACTCCAGAAAATGATGTCATGGCTTTAGAAGCTTCTGATAGGCTAATTAACATCATTTGAGTCAATTGGAGGTGTACCTGTGGATGTATTTCAAGGCCTACCTTCAAACTCAGTGCCTCTTTGGTTGACATCATGGGAAAATCAAAAGAAATCAGCCAAGACCTCAGAAAAAAATGTGTAGACCTCCACAAGTCTGGTTCATCCTTGGGAGCAATTTCCAAACGCCTGAAGGTACCACGTTATCTGTACAAACAATAGTACGCAAGTATAAACACCATGGGATCACGCAGCCGTCATACCGCTCAGGAAGGAGAGGCATTCTAGAGATGAACGTACTTTGGTGCGGAAAGTGCAAATCAATTCCAGAACAACAGAAAATGACCTTGTGAAGATGCTGGAGGAAACAGGTACACAATTATCTATAACCACAGTAAAACAAGTCCTATATCGACATAACCTGAAAGGCCTCTCAGCAAGGAAGAAGCCACTGCTCCAAAACCGCCATAAAAAAGCCAGACTACGGTTTGCAAAGATCATACTTTTTGGAGAAATGTCCTCTGGTCTGATGAAACAAAAATAGAACTGTTTGGCCATAATGACCTTCGCTATGTTTGGAGGAAAAAGGGGGTAGGCTTGCAAGCCGAAGAACACCATCCCAACCGTGAAGCACGGGGGTGGCAGCATCATGCTGTGGTGGTGCTTTGCTGCAGGAGGGACTGGTGCACTTCACAAAATAGATGGCATCATGAGGAAGGAAAATTATGTGGATATATTGAAGCAACATCTCAAGACATCAGTCAGGAAGTTAAAGCTTGGTCGCAAATGGGTATTCCAAATGGACAATGACCCCAAGCATACTTCCAAAGTTGTGGCAAAATGGCTTAAGGACAACAAAGTCAAGGTATTGGAGTGGCCATCACAAAGCCCTGACCTCAATCCTATAGAAGATTTGTGGGCAGAACTGAAAAAGCGTGTGCGAGCAAGGAGGCCTACAAACCTGACTCAGTTACACCAGCTCTGTCAGGAGGAATGTGCCAAAATTCACCCAATGTCACGCCCTGACCTTGAGAACCCTGTTATTCTCTAGTTAGTTTGGTCAGGGTGTGAATGCTAGATATCTAGTTTATCTATTTCTATGTTGGCTGGGTGTGGTTCCCAATCAGAGGCAGCTGTCTATCGTTGTCTCTGATAGGGGATCATACTTAGGCAGCCATTTTGCCTACCTTTAGTTGTGGGATCTTGTTTCTGATTCTGTTTGGCTTGTTGGATGTTTAGCCTCTTGAACTTCACATTCTGTTGGATTTTGTTATTTTGTCTGTGTTTATATAATAAACGACTATGTACGCATACCATGTTGCACCTTGGTCCGATCCTTTACACAACGAACGTGACACCCAACTTATTGTGGGAAGCTTGTGGAAGGCTACCCGACACGTTTGACCCAAGTTAAACAATTTAAAGGCAATGCTACCAAATACTAATTGAGTGTATGTAAACTTCTGACCCACTGGGAATGTGATGAAAGAAATAAAAGCTGAAATAAATTATTCTCTCTACTATTATTCTGACATTTCACATTCTTAAAATAAAGTGGTGATCCTAACTGACCTAAGACAGGGAATTTTTACATTTACATTTTAGTCATTTAGCAGACGCTCTTATCCAGAGCGACTTACAGTTAGTGAGTGCATACATTTTTCATTGAGTATTTTTTACTTGGATTACATTTCAGAAATTGTGAAAAACTGAGTTTATGTTTATTTGGCTAAACTGTATGTAAACTTCCGACTTTAACTGTATGTATATATTCTTAAATTCCATTCCTTACTAGATTTGTGTATATGGGTATATGTTGTGAAATTGTTAGATATTACTTGTTAGATATTACTGCACTGTAGGAGCTTGAAGCACAAGCATTTCGCTACAGCCGCAATAACATCTGCTAAACACGTGTAGAGTGGGGGGGAAAAGTATTTAGTCAGCCACCAATTGTGCAAGTTCTCCCACTTAAAAAGATGAGAGAGGCCTGTAATTTTCATCATAGGTACACGTCAACTATGACAGACAAATTGAGATTTTTTTTCTCCAGAAAATGACATTGTAGGATTTTTAATTAATTTATTTGCAAATTATGGTGGAAAATAAGTATTTGGTCACCTACAAACAAGCAAGATTTCTGGCTCTCACAGACCTGTAACTTCTTCTTTAAGAGGCTCCTCTGTCCTCCACTTGTTACCTGTATTAATAGCACCTGTTTGAACTTGTTATCAGTATAAAAGACACCTGTCCACAACCTCAAACAGTCACACTCCAAACTCCACTATGGCCAAGACCAAAGAGCTGTCAAAGGACACCAGAAACAAAATTGTAGACCTGCACCAGGCTGGGAAGACTGAATCTGCTATAGGTAAGCAGCTTGGTTTGAAGAAATCAACTGTGGGAGCAATTATTAGGAAATGGAAGACATACAAGACCACTGATAATCTCCCTCGATCTGGGGCTCCACGCAAGATCTCACCCCGTGGGGTCAAAATGATCACAAGAACGGTGCGCAAATATCCCAGAACCACACGGGGGGACCTAGTGAATGACCTGCAGAGAGCTGGGACCAAAGTAACAAAGCCTACCATCAGTAACACACTACGCCGCCAGGGACTCAAATCCTGCAGTGCCAGACGTGTCCCCCTGCTTAAGCCAGTACATGTCCAGGCCCGTCTGAAGTTTGCTAGAGTGCATTTGGATGATCCAGAAGAGGATTGGGATAATGTCATATGGTCAGATGAAACCAAAATATAACTTTTTGGTAAAAACTCAACTCGTCGTGTTTGGAGGACAAAGAATGCTGAGTTGCATCCAAAGAACACCATACCTACTGTGAAGCATGGGGGTGGAAACATCATGCTTTGGGGCTGTTTTTCTGCAAAGGGACCAGGACGACTGATCCGTGTAAAGGAAAGAATGAATGGGGCCATGTATCGTGAGATTTTGAGTGAAAACCTCCTTCCATCAGCAAGGGCATTGAAGATGAAACGTGGCTGGGTCTTTCAGCATGACAATGATCCCAAACACACCGCCCGGGCAACGAAGGAGTGGCTTCGTAAGAA